CAGGCCCTTTAGCAGTACGGCCTCATCCACAGAACAAAAAGCAAGAAATGGGAACTGTAGTTTCTCATCCACATAGGAAATTCAGTGATGCACCTATTACCCCCCATCTTAAAGAGTAAATGTGATGCTGACTCTCCTGGCATCAGCACTCATTGCTGACCCATAGCAGGGGCTCATGACATTTACATTACACCAATGCTATATTATTAAGTAGTGGTTTGTCTTAGTTAAAAATGTTATTGGGTTAAAACAGAGTGCCCTTGTACCCTGGTGTGCCCTGAGATCCTTTCCAGGGTAGTGTGGGATGCCACACAATGTTAGCATTATTAGGTATGCAAACATGATTTACAAGGTAAACCCAGAGATTTCAAATGGGAATCCATAGTGTTAATTTAAAAAATTGCCCTGTTGTGGTCTTTCTGAGATCTCTGCAAGAATTGCTCTATTACCATATTTTCTCACATAAAACATGTGCTTCCCCCCACCCCAAATCATAACCTTAATATGCGGGTATGTGTATTATGTGGGGAAGCTGATTTTCTTACCAGGGCAGAAGCACCCCCTGCTTTGATAGCTGCTCCATAGTGGTCAGCTGTGGTATTACTATTCAGGTAGCTGAAGGAGTCTTAGTGGCTCACCGTTAACACCCCAGAGGTATTAAGGACTGTCTCTCCTTTTTAATGGTTTTGATGCTCCACTAATTAAGTTAATCTTTCTTCGCCCATTTTTTCTGTCTGCTCTCTTGCAAATTTAAAAGGTTTGGAGACTCGTTAGCTATTTTCGTCAGAAACACAGATCCACCCATGGAGACTAGTCTTCAGCAGCAGCTAGGATTTCAGCTTCACTTAAGTAGGAAAGGGAGAGTGAGTCAGCTGAAGATTATGCTCTGTCCCCTATGCAGCCATAACTCTGAAAAACCATTTTTTCTTCATTATGCCTTTTAAAACAAGATGAGCATTATATTCTGGGGTGTGTTCTTTGTGAGAAAATAAGTTATATTTCTGTAGTCAGAAGTGAAAACTAAGTCCTGGCATTTTCCAAGGGATGCCTTGAGTCTAAATAGGTTGAGAACCACTGGGTTAAGCCAACAAGGACACTAAAGATATGTCTGCCCTCCAATGCTACAGAGCAACATGGAAATAACTGAGCTATGTCAGGTACCAGAAGTAGTCTCACTATGGCAACATGGAACTCCATGTGCAAGCTAAATATACTTGCCAAGAAGCAGGGTAATGTCATGAACACAGGGGTTTATGGGGCATCTTGTATGGTTTCTTGAGTTTGTTTTACTGATGAGGCATATATGTAGTCTCAACACACAGGTAACATCAAGCTGCATTTAGCCATATCATCCTTCTGCTTATATATCCTGTGATATTAGACAAAAAATGTATTTCTTATATGTTATAATATGGCCAGGATTGCATAATATGATAATGACTTGCAATTAGTAAACAATAAGCTTCTCTGACATCTAGGAAAGGCTCTAATCCTAAATGGCTGAAGAGCAATAGTGGTTTGGAATTAGCATTTGACTGGAGTCCTTTACTTGTCACTTCTGTGAACCTGCTCCTGGTCCAAGAGCCAGGCTCTGCTGAACAACAGTGAATTTACACTTTAAAATAAAGGACTCTACAAATAACACCTGGCTAGTCAAACTACTGGGGGAAACAAATGAGAGACAGTATTATTAGGATATTGGATTCTTATGTCTGAAAGGACATACTCTTCTGGTCTTAGACTAGGATTTTTTCTGAACTGGTCAACAGGCACCTCTGCATAGTGTGGGCCTCCCAAGAATCCAAGGAATGACATGTGAATAGTGGGATAAGCAACTGTATTTAAGTCTGCTTCAAATGGTTTTGTCTTTATTTTTCCCAGGTACAGGGGAAGCTGGAGTCCCTCAGGCCAGAAACTGAGTAAAGCAGCTGACAGGAGAGCTTGCAAGAGGTTCTGGCAGGGGAGTCAGAGATAGAAACTGCTTTTTAACCTGTTGAAGCTGGCTAGGGTCTGTATCCTTGGATTTAAGATGCAGGGTAAGTTCAAGTTATTGTTCTGACATTTCCTTTTGCTTGTTTTTTAAATTCTTATATCTCTATTTGTATCTCAGCATATGATGGCTGGTTTCTTATGCTTGTTCTTGGGGTTTTTTAAATAATAGATCTTTTTGTTATCTATTTACCCGCTTATTGTCAGTGTTAACCGTGATTCCAGAGCAATCGACCATACAGACTGGCTCATTCCACAGAAAGGGGAAGCCCCTTTTCTGATGTACATGACTGGACAAATGTGATTCTTCTGGCTGGCAAAATCCCCTCTATTAAGAGCTGGCAAGGCCTGAGTGAGACAGGTAAGGCTGAAGCACTACAGGCTAAGAGCTGGCCCCTGGCACATCTCAACTGGTTCTCAATGGCCAAGCAGTGGTAGGGAGGGGTTTGGGGAAGAGTGTTTTCACCCTACAGGTGTGGTCTCAGAGGTGCATTCAGGCTGCATCTAGAGTTGGAGCACATCACAGATAAACTAGCTGACACAGATCTCTTTGTTGCTGTAGAGTAATTCTGAGGTAGTCTGGGCACCTTTACAGTACGGAACAGTCTAATTTGCTAACTGGCTAATCAGGGGATTCCTAATAGCATAAAAGAATAAAATGCTTATATAAAAGCAGATGTCCTAAACATGTGCAAATTCAAATTGTGGAGAGATCCCGTAATGGCAAATTCTTCTATTTTCCTATGATTTTCTACTAGACTAAATCATGGGTAATCTTTAACTGTTACCTTGAGGGCCAAGGGTTAAGTGAATCAGTAAACTCAAATACATTATTATTTCTGAGAATAGATTGAAGGAAGATTATGGTGCTAAAACTGAATACAATTAAAAATACCACTTACTTTTCTTTATGAAAAACAGCCACCAACTCTGATGTGGTAATAACACTTTCTGAATCATTCACTTATTTAATGTGTAATTATGGTCCACATTTAATATTGATCCCTAGCTGTCTGTCTAAGTGGCTGGGACTGCTGCCTATTCCTTTAGGCTAGGGACAGACATTGAAAAAGCCTGAGCCTGAATTGGTTCAGTCTTTGCAGGTTAGTCTAAACTGGCTAATCTGAATTGGTCTGTAACTGCACAGATATCCCCTCTGGACTGAAAAAGTGCAGGTACATGCCTGCACTGGCTCAGACTAGAAGCCGGAGGGTGCCACAGCAGCCCTCCCTTCCACAGGGCTGAGCTGAGTGGGGTATGGCCAGGGCCTGGCAGGACGCTCTAGTTAGGGAAGGGTTCCCCCCACTCCTGAGCAGCCCAGCAGGGAATTGATAACACAGTGTTTATCACCCCATTAAGAAAACAACAGAGGGACATTTCCAGCTACCTATTGCTTCTGCCTTTCTCTCCTGTGCCATTGCATGGACCACAGCCAGCATGTGGTCTGCTAGCTAATTCTGAGAGGTGTCTGTGTAGGGCAGAGGGTACATTGCTTAGCAGGGAGTGGAGAGGGGGAGGGGGCGGGGGGAGTAGGAGAAAGCCAGGCAGGCACCTGCAGTCTCTGCCAGAGCTGCAGCCAGGAAACAGAGGGGAGGGGCCAGCTCTGCTGGGCTGGAGCAGAGAACAGAGCCCCGCCCAGAGTTGCAAAGCATCAGACTCCCCCAGCATCCCAGATTAATTGAAACCAGGAAGGAGTCTGAGACAGACATTGCATAAACCAGTTTGAGCCAAATCAGTTAAGTCTGATACTATATTCAACCAGGTTCATCTCAAACCAGTTTCAACCATTTTCAAACTGATTGATGTGCACTGAACATCTGTTCATCAACCAGTTTCTCATCACTTCAACAGCTTTATGTGCAATGTCTGTCCCTAGCTGTAGTACCTGAGCATCTTCCATATGGAAGAGATGGACAATCATAACATTTATTTTTTTCTTTTTTTTGGAAGGGTGGCATTTAAGCTGCAGTCCAGAATTTGTCTTCAGTGAGGTCTTCAAGTTTCCTAATTTTAAATGTGAGGTATAATGCAAGACATCCCATTGGCTGAATTAACTCATACAGCTAGGTGAATAAGTTTTCTCACTGGTTATATGTGGTGTCTTTCCATATTTGAAAAGCCAGCCCTGTGGCTGTCACTTCCCAATTGCTAGGAGCATTTTACACATGGAAAACTTTTCATTCACCTCATGTACGGTTAGTTTAACACAAATGTATATGTCAGCACTACCTGCTTTTATTTCATACAACTTGTATGATTTTCTCCAACTTCTGGTATCGAATAGGAGAGTGGTGTCTTTCAAAGCACTTCTAAATAGAGATAGGTAGGTTCCCACCAAATTCACTGGACCCAGCAGCCAATTACATGTCTGTAACATGGTTGGGGCCCCAAATTTCATGGCTATATCATAGCCAGGGCCTCCATTTTGAAGGCTGTGCCAGGTGAGCAGTATCATCTGGGTGGCCCCTACCCTAGGACGTGAGGCTCTGGCTTCAGCTCCTGGCTGCTGGAGCCCCAGCACTCTGCATGGGGCTGAGCCCCATTCACTCGTGCCAGAGCAGCCCATGCCATGCTCCCACCATGCTCCCGCCAGTGCCAAAAGCCAGGCCGGGTGCTGCTGTGTGCTCCCCGCACCACCACTTCCAGTTCCAGGATCTGGAGCCAGGCCCCCATGTGCCTGCTGTGAGTGGCACAGCACAGTGCAGCAAGAGGGAGAGGAGGAGCTGCTACTGGAGGCCGGGGACACAGAGCAGTACCCGGCTGGCTGCAGCCGCACCAGGAACAGCCCACTGGAAGATGGTCCTGCCCCTGCTGCACCGTGCCATGTCACGCTGTTCCGGGTGGGCAAACAGCTTCAGCCAGGTGGCTCCTGCCATAGTGCTGGGGTTCTGGCTTCAGCTCCTGGCTACTTTCCCATGACCTGGAGCCAGAGCCCCGTGTCTTGAGGCAGAAGCAGGAGCAGCTTCCAAAAGGCTGTCCCCAGGGCAGCTGCAGCCAGCCAGGCACTGCTCTGCGCTCCAGCAGTAGCTCCTCCTTTCGCTCCTGCTGCACCACATCATGCCACTACTGGCAGGCACGTAAGGGTTCAGCTCCAGATCCTGGAACTGGAAGCAGGGGGCGCAGAGCAGCACCTGGACAGGCTGTGGGCACCAGTGGGAGCATGGTACAGGCTGCTTCGCCATGACCAGGTAGGGCTTGGCCCCAGGCAGAATGCTGCAGGAGCAGTGTGAACTCTACTACCCGGGGGGGCTCTGTTGCATGTGCCCTCTGCCCTCTTCCCTCCCTTCACCCACAGCAGGCTCCCAGGACCTAGCAACCAGAAAGCCCCCCTCCATACACACACATGTCCTCCCCCAAAATCCCAGAAGGCAGGGGCACTCTCCCCCCCCCCC